TTTTTTTTTCCGTTTGAACGAGCGGATGAATGATAATTTTTCGGTCGGCAGTTTTGCCAAAGACGGACTCAAACCGAAATGGCAAATGGTAAAATGATAAATTTCGCAGAATGTCTCGTAGTCCATTCACATCATCCCCTGGTAGGCTACAGTATCTTCAATTCGAAATGTCTTGATTATAATTTGAAATGTCACCGAGATTGCTGACCTCAGCGCGCGCTAAATTTGTTTACAATTACGCGATCGCGTTTCTTGATTTTGTCAACTTTTATCAACTACCATGACCGTTTGAACTGGGTTCCGTTCGATTGCTTCGAGAGGGACTCTAACTTCTTGAGTGCTCTCCAAACTTTCCGAGCGCATTCAGAACTCGATGCTTGCACAGCTAAAGCACGAACCAATTATTTTATAACATAGCATGTGGACAAGAAAAAGACAAGACAAAAACGACCACAGAAGAAAAATTTGGAGACCAAAGCTTATTCAAAGAATTGTAAATTTGCTGCATAAAAGCGCAAAAAGAACATTCTTCTTGCATGTGCGAGACCGTGTGGTAGTTTCAGCATGCTTGAATCGTAATTTATTAGCCGAATTCAGAGCAAGAAAATTGCGTAACCTTTTTTGCGCTGTCGTTAAATACCCGGCAACCGCGTACGGTCTGAAATAGACTAAATACCCGGCATTCAGAAATTTCTACAAAACTTCAAGTGAAATATTCTTTCAAACTTCACGAGAACATCAGATGTTTTCAGAGAAATGTCAAGCGATTCCAAAAATAAATTTGTTTTTTGAGCGAACATTCTCCGAGCTTGAGCATCCTATAGTATCGCTCGGTTGTCGACTAAGAAATGTTCGCTTTTAATCAGACAGCCAGACACGGTCTCAAATGACTAAATGGCCGGCAGTTGGAAATTTTCACCAAAACGCCACTAAAAACTCCATAGAAACCTACTGAGTATATTCGATGTTTGTTTAGAAATGTCAAGCGATTCTAAGAATTGCGTTGGTTTTCTTAGTAGTCACACTTAACGTGCCAAACATGTTGTAAGGCTTAGGAGGTCACGTTGGTTTCGTCAATAGAATGTTGTCTTCGAGACCATTGTCGCGTGACAGTAATGGGACAGCTTCAAGTTCAGTAAATATGGAGGGAAACTATGCAGAAAACCTCAAATAAACCTATTAAGAAAATCCGATATTTGTTTAGATAACCCTAATGATTCTAAAATTATTTTAGTGGATAAACTTTCCGAGCAGAACAGAGCACAGTCAAGACTTCTCTATCTGTGATACTAAGCATGCGGACAAGAAAAGACAACCACTTCATAAATAATTCGAGACCAAAGCTTATCCAAAGAATTGTTAATTTGCTGCCTAGAAACGCAAAAAGAAACAATTATTTGCATGTACAAGACCACATTTTAGTATACTTAAATCATTGTTCACTAGAATTCAGAGGAAATTGCGTGGATTGGTATTGAAAATTCTGAGAATTTTGCCTTCGGCGAAGTTATTTGATGTCGACTTTAAAATCCTCTATTTAAAGGTACTTTAAGACATATCAACATAATGTTCCTGATTTACCATTCGAAAAGTGAAGCTAAAACGTACGAATTTGTGGCATATACGAAGCTTGCGTGGTATATTTATTTCACTCGATTGTTGTTTAAAATTGCGTAGCTTTGTGTTAAAAATTCTAGGAATTGTACGACTTTGAAACAAAATTTTCCATTGAAATCAATTTTGGGACTTATCAACACTTGAAAATGATATTTAGAAGAGTTCCAATGTTGCATGCCTCAAGAGGAAAAGCTCAGTTTACCTTGTTCAGCAATAGTTTGCATCGTGTTTAAGAATGACCTATCTTGAACTCCAAAGCAAGTTTTGTTGCTCGAAAGAGCTACATGCGCATTGTTTTGTCGAAACGACTATTATTTATCGGTTTTGGTTGTCATTTTGATCTTTTATAGGTCTTACTCAATCGGGATGGATCGGAAAAAACCGTCTTGAAAGGTTTGAAACCTCGCAGCCGACCAAAACGAAAACTTCCAGCTAAAGTGAAACTGCTTGCGTTATGTCATTTATGCACCATAGTAGCTCCACAGAAATTAGGAAGGACATGCGGGCACGTCATGTCATTAAATGACATGGTAAATACGCTCCATGTAAACAGGAATGCCGCCTTTGTAGAGTAAGTCGCGCCCGAATTGTACCTGAAGTACATTCAGAAATAGCTCTCTGTGATATTTTGGATCAGGGAAACCCTCATTACAGCTATATTATGGACAAATTTGATTATTACGATCAGTTAGTTTGTGGTGCTGCTTTTACGGCAGAATTAGGGGACATCTGGAAACATTTGAAAGTGAAAGAGGAAGTTTCGTACTGAACATCAAAAGCGAATTGAAATTATGATTAAACCTCTTTAAAAAAGGGAAACTTAAACCACATCGCGGAGGGAAAGATAACAAATAAATTTAAACAGATCATTAAAAGGAAACTTCAACTCACCATCGCTTTCTTCGAATGTAATGACCGCTTCGCTTTCATTCAAGTCTACCGAGCTTATATCTCCACCTCCAGATTGTTTACGTGATTGGAAATATATCATTAATTCTTGCCTGGATATCTCTCTACCGATAGCTCGAACGTGTAAAGTCCGATCTTTATCCATGTTTTCAATGGTATGGCATTCCAAACTCCGCAAAAAACTATATGATAGTCAAGGTCCCTATCGTGCGAAACCGAAACTTCTCTGAAGCCCTGACTCTGGGTATTCGCAGAAATGTGAAATCACCCCAGAGCATCTTGGTTATGTCATCACCGGTCATGCGCGTAATCCTTCAGTGGATCATGAGGGATAAATGTGTTGCATGTCTTTAAAAATTAGGCTACTGGGATGAATACTAGATAACAGAAATTTCCTTACGACAAAAATGTAATATCAATGAACTAACACCAACTAGATAGCTTTTCTTTCAATTCCTATGAGCTCCTTACGAAGCATAACGAAAAAATCAGAAGGGTCCTATCCTACAGCACTGCAAATTGCTCAGGCTCCAATCTCCGGGAATTCGATGACAAAATTAAAATTCTAGGAAGAGCGAAAAACATAAGTGACTGTATGTGCAGACATCCACTTTCGTTCCCATGCCATCATTCTCCCACTTGGCCGATGGCAGCACAGTGCAAGGGAATCTGAGTAACCCAGTAAAAAGTGCCAAGAGTGGCCATGAAATTCGATGCGTGACTGCTAGGAAGTATGCCTTTCCGCTTCAGATTATCGCGTTTAACAGCCAGGGTATCAGCTTCGTCTCAGGGCAAAATATCGACTCCATAAGCATCAAAACGAACGGTAATCTGATACAATTTCAGAGTAACGTGTACTGGTGGTTAAGTGTAGCAACTACAAGTGGATTGCGCGACATGTCACGCTAGTCCATTAGAATCTATCGGCCACGAGGTCACAAGCAGGACACAGCGGCAAATGAATGGTTTGTAGACGAATGCTGGAAGGAAGTCTTCACCCACGATAGCAAAGGTACATCTCTCTCAGGATCGCGCCAGGTAGTAAGATCGGCTCTCGTGTGCGGTCATCGTGTCCGTTTCCAGATCCCGCAGTGGAATTACCTTACAGCAGAAGCTGACAATCTGTTCTTGAGAAATTCTCACGTGACAGCCTAGGCTTTACACCTTGTTCCTTCTGTCGACTAATGTCTGTACTAGAGTGACACAATGAGTAGTTGATGAATAAAACGTGAATTCACATGAAAACCAAACTGACTGATTAAGTATACTGACATTGAGCTGAGTGTTGTGTTTGACCTCAATTAACTTGATTTGATTGAAGCGTCTGAGAGTTAGCAAAGATCCTGTGTATCGTTGACAGGTCTTGATGGTAAAAAATGCATAAACACCTTTATTTGAAATGCGCGCTAAACTGTCTACATTTCATCATGGCCTTGACTTTATCATCGAACATAGAGAGCTCCATTTAATGTTGGCGGTTTACATTGGCTAATACTTTTCCGGCCCCGTCTTGCCTAGACCGCTCTTGCCCATTTAGCTATTCTTCCTCAAGCTTCGGCCGAACCGGAAGACATATGAAAACTAACCTGACCTAAAGAGACTTCCACGTATTTAAGCATTAAAACTTGAATTAAACGCGTTATCCCCTGCCCCCCCCTACTAGGTTTGCTCTTGTCCCCAATGTCGTGTTATTGTTCTCGGTTCAAATATCTGGTGGATGTGGTCACCCCAAAGGCCAAATTTTTTGCATGAGTTCATGGAGTTATCGACATAAGTCAAAATGGCGTCTGTCATCGGACTGTAGGCTAAAATGATCTGGCTGGGTTTTACTTTTTTCCGCACCATCCCTGATAAAAATAAACCCTTGAGGACCGCACAGACGAAGGGGAAATGTGCGGAAGAATACTAAGTTGGAAAGAAAAAGGCGTCGAGGTCTTAAAACCGACATGACAAAGATCCCAAAGATCGATTTAAAAATATTCCGTGGGACCGTATGCTAAAATAGTCATGGTGTTTTTTTCTTCTTTTTGCTCCTTTGTTGATCAAAATACATCTTTGTGGACCTCACAGACAAAGAACAGATATGCTGGAACTGAATGAACGGGCCTCAAAGTCTTAAAATCGATGAGGACAACATATGGATTTATTTTGTTGCGTGGCGTAAAGAATGTCAATGATGTCTTCAATTAATTTTGCATATTTTACACATCTTTGGCGGCTGATTAGCCATGTTTGATGTTTTTACATATTTTATTGGATTTGACCTTTTTTTGTTACGCCTTGACGCAATTTCGAATTCGAAATTGCTTACCATGAAAAGAGCCAATAAGGAAAATAAAAAAATAATAGTGTTTCCTTGGAAATCTAGTCATTCCATGGTATACTAGGGACACAATGCGCGAAGGCGTGTTTATGAAAAACTCCTCAGGAGAGTTTCAGTAATAAACTTTATTTCACGTATATAACTTTTCACTTGGCATGAGTGTTCACTGACAACTGCATGCGAAAGTGCCTAATTACAAATTGACGATTTGCTTTGAACCACTGTTTATTGTAAGATACCCCTTATGTTATCACGTTTACTCGGGGGATCATGGAGCAGATACAAGAAATGACAAAATTATAATCATATATTGGGCGGCACTAAAAGGTCAGACTAAAACGCACTTTAAATAATGAAAAATAGGCTCGCCATCACGGAATGGGTAGTAAGGTCAGCGTTAATTAGGGTTAGATTACCAGGAGTACTCAACAAGACTTACATCTTTTGTCGCCCCATATGTATTTACATCTTTCCTAAAAACCATAACAATATTGATCAGCACCCAACATTACTTCTAGTTCGTAATATCAACTATTTTTGCTAGATTGGAACTACATCGGTAATTTGACCTTGATAATCCTTCTGCCTGATTCTCTCATAGAAGCACTCTCAAATTCAAGAAAAAAAAAACTTTCTCCCCCTAAAGAAAAGGAACAATACTGGTTATTCAAAGTTTCCTAACGACTTTTTCTTACTCATTTGAAAGTTATAAGATAATCTGGATAACACTGGTTATCGTAGAACACAACGAATATGGTTGGATTTGTGGGGTTATCCACAACAGCATCATAAGCATCTGTAGCGTCACTTCCCTTGGGAGGCGGAGTTATCATTCCCTGCCGTCCTTTCGTGTATTCACCGGCGAGGACACGTGCAAGATACATGTAACGGTTTCCTGTCGCATCAGGTGGTGAATAGGTTGTGCTTGCTGAATAGGATGCATCTCGAGCAAAGTAAACACCATTTCCATACACAGTGGCTAAAAATAAGAGAACCAACGGGTTAATTACAACGTCTTTCTTCTTGTGGGCATTTAATTAATTTTTTTCTTTCCGATAACATGAAAACATTCCAGGCTATTTAAACGCTAAATCGAGTCTACTTGGGTTCGCAATAGATGTCTAGAACAAGATGATACGACATTTTTTTCTAACTTTCAAATTCGAGTGATCACCAAAAGTATTTACAATAAGGAGGACACAATTATCTTGAAGTGCGTCAGTCGTGGAAGATTACTTTTTAATCCCAAGTAGTTATTTTTTACAGAAAATGAAGAAAAAAATCATCTTGGTATAAAATTTCAAATAACAATGAACTTAATAATTACCATTTTTGCCACAGTAGCTTCTGTTAAATCCGAATTTGCTGATGGTGGGGCAGCTGCTTCCCGCTGTTCCATGGAAGAGTAGTTTTTCATTGCTACCTTTTTTATGTTCCATCTGGTCCCGTCTGACCATGTATTGCCGGTACAGGACAGGGTTTTGTACCCTTTCGATCTTGATAATGTTAACAGTAGACGTCTTACGCACTTCTTCTACCACCTTTTTGTACTCGCTCGCGTTAGGGTCTAAGAGCACTAGGTGTACCTCTTTCTCTTTTCCAGAGCCATCCTTTGGGTGCACATCCCACTCTAAGGGTAATGGAACACCTGATTGAAAAGATTTGATCTGACTTGAAATTCATATCAATTAGCACAGTTCAATGTACAATACAGATAGCAGTTAAAACGACTTTGATATATAGGTGTGCATAACTGTAAAATATGTATTACTTTTCAGTTCAGCTGCACTGTACCTTTCCCAATCTCTTTTCGAACGACGACTCTCACTTCTCCGTCGTCGAGGCAGGTTTCCTTCATGTCCTTGAAAACAATTTTGCATTTTGCATCATCGATTGCTACAATAACGGAATCTTTTCCCTCGCCAAAGGCTTCTTCAATCTGCAAATTAATGCTGGGCTCATAGGGCTCTGGGGTTTCATCATCATCGCTGTCATAGGAGAACCACTGTACATTTTTGGAAAGGAGCTCACCAACACCTCTCGTGTGATCTTCCTCGATCTTCTGGTTGAGTACTTCGTAAATTGTAGTGGCCACCTCAAGAACGTCTTCTGCATCACCTCTTACAGATATGCGACCAATGGTCTGCTCGATATTAACATGGACGTCGTATTCAGCTTCCAATCTCTTTATTTGTTGTGTTTGCTCCTTTGAAAGGTTACAAATTGCTTCACGCTCAATTACTTTCAGCTTGCAGTGATCAGCCACATCCTTTTCTATTTTCTTGATGACCGCGTCGATGTCTTGCTTAATGCTTGCGAAAATTTCTATGTAGCTGAAAGGCTTTCCTTTTCCGTGAAACATGCGCATCGATGGCATTGAATGTGAAGATGCTGAGCCACTTCGTCCGAATCCGAACCACCCAGCAAGCTTTGAGAGAAAACCCGTCCCACCTTTCGCAGAAGATAAGCTCTCTTCCATTGCAGTTTGGAACACAGTTAACATGTGGGGCTGATAGATTACAATGCGAATTAGAGCAATGGATACAGGTTCCTCTCGCGCAAACTTGAAAATAGCAGCCATCATTCCCTCTGCAGCCTCTTTGGCATCTTTATTGATATTACCTGTTCCAACAGCTGGAAATGAAATCGAGGTCAATCCAGCCGAATCAGCTTTTCGCAAACACGTCAAAATGCAGTCACTTATAGAACGCATGCTCATGCCGTAATCTAGAACCATGTGGTAAATTTTTCTCACTTGAAGCTTTCCGGCGCTAGAAACCACCACAGAGCCTGGCTTCTGGGACCCCATAGCTGAGCATTCTGCTTGAATAGTTGATCCTCCAGCAGCTAGGATAGCCTTTCCTACACCACCCCCCATTGCAACATCGAGCTCGCTGTTCGATAAGGTAGCGATTGCATCAGTTACTTCTTTTGTGATGTTACCAGTCTCAGCTTGAACAACAACATTGCCAATAATTATTTCGGGTTGGGAGGGGTTTAATATTACAGGCTCTTCCCCCAAGGCATCGTCAACATCATCAAGGGTATCTACATTAGATCGTTTGGCGCCACCACTGCTCCAACCTCGACGTTTCTTCTTTCCATCTTTCGGATCTGCTGTTCCCACTGGTGGCTGCGGTGGAGTTGAGCCTACACCACCTCTTTTTTTCAGTTCGGTCTGGAAGGCTTGCACCGATTTCAAATCTTTATCATACACGACCAAATGGACTTCTTTCAAAGTGCTGCTTGGATTTTTCTTACTGAAGGATAATACTTCATCAAAGGAAGCTGCAGCCACGCAATCACGGGGAAAGTTGAGGTTCCCAGTCCCAATTGCGGGGATGGAAATTGTTAAGAGACTCCTCTTTTGAGCTTCTTCGAGACATTTCTTTATGATACTCCGGAGTACCTGTAGTTAAGATATTTACTCTTCAAAATACTTGTACCTTACCGATGATTATAACTATGGTGTCTTTGTTAAATTTGAAATTCTTTTGCACTTGAAATATCCGCACAGATGAACTCAGAAACTGTTTGAGGGCGTTTTTGCAATACAACTCCCTCTATTTTCGTTCAAAAAGTGCATTTTTCAACTCTGTAAATCTTAGCATCTTGAAATTAATGGGAAATGGACCGTACTCCGTAAAAGAATCTGTTTGAATGGTAGGGGGCCTCTTCTATTTAAGGTAGACGGGTAAGTGGCTAATAATAAGCTGACTTATCAAATCTTTTATTACCAGAAAAAAATATGATATTTGTGCTTACCTTCTCGCCCGCTCCGTTCTCCCATCCGGCGGATGAAGTATGGAAAACGTGCTTGCACGCAAGATTTGCCCCGCTTGTAACCACAATCTCCCCGGTATCTACCTTGCCAATCAATTTACATTCTTGTTGTAGCTTGGGACCAGCAGCGGCACTCAGGGCCCTTGCACTTGCGTTCTTACTTAGATCCAGATCCGTCGAGGTTGAGTTGACGATAACATCAACCTGAAGAAAGCCAGCAAGATATCAAATTCAGTTCATTAACAACTTTTCTAAATTTTATCCATAAGCAAAGTTAGATGGACACGGGCTGTTTGAAACGGTCCCGTAAAAGCTTTATGCAGGAGCATACCCCAAGGATGCTTGATTCATTTGGATACGTTTGAGACCAACTATAATCATATAATCGGTTTTTTTCTTGATAAAATTGAACGTGGAATCATTCTAATTCGAAGAATATAATGTGACTTACTTTTTCACTTGTCATATCACCAATGACAAGAACCAATTCTAGACCTTCAGCGGTCTTCATAACATTTGGAGCGGTATTGGAAGAAACTGTTGCTGAGGAAATATCTAGGATTGATGTGGCTCTTTCTTTCTCTTTTTCTTTCCTTTTAGGGCCTGTAGACGATTTATAATTGGGATCGTTAAGAAGTTTAGAATCCATCTCATTTGCTATGGCCTTTACGACACCATCGTCGATACTGGTAAACTGAACCTCGGACAGGAGACAACTCGGGTTTTCTCGAAAAAAAGCCAGCACAGATTCTACCATAATTTGGGCGCACAGTTCACGTGGAAATTCAAAGACGCCTGTGCCAATGGCAGGAATGGCTACTGAGTTATAGCCTTTCGCAGCGTCTAGGGCATTCTCCACCGCATAGCTTAAAATCTTCTCCTCTCTTGGAGTTTTCCCCATCAATTTTTCCTGTGCTGCTTTTTTCCCCCATTGTGGCCCCACAGCATGAATTACTTTTTGAAAAGGTAGTTTTCCTGCAGACGTGACAGCCACTTGGCCGTCCAATATTGGTCCTGTATCAATGACAAATCGATCACACTCTGCCTTGAAGGCCTCTCCCGCTCTTTCATAAATGGCTTTTGAGACACCACCCACGTGATGAAGCTTTGAGTTAGCAGCATTAACAATCACATCCACGTTGCGATCGCAGATGTTATCTTTGAACACCAGAATCCTTTTTCCGTCCGGGGTAAGAAGGTCGCACAAACTCTCCTTCTTCTTTTCGGCTTTCTTTTCTTTTGTCACTTCCTTTGCGTCATCTCTGCTTGGTTTAAAGTATTCAATTACGCACTTATTTTCATTCTCTAACATGCTCAGTAATTTTTTTCCTTTGCTTCGATCAAGCACTTTACTCATCCCAGGTTTGCTGACAGGCATCTTTTGACTTTGAACTTTAGATGCCAGATCTTGAATCAGTTCCTTAGCATTGTTAACTCCACAGCTAGTACCTGAGACAACCAAATGATCTTCATCTTCATCTGCCAAACCCTTTATTTGCGTGGAATATTCTTTCAGTTCCTCTTGTATTTGCTGAAGTTCCTGTTCGCGGTACTTCACAAGAAATCGGTGACAACCTTTTGGAAGTGTCACAAGGCTAAAGATAATGGTATTTTCTGTGAGGAAACGCTTGACAGCCTTAACAGCAACCGAAACATCCTCCTTTACGCCCACGAGGTAAATCTTCTTATTGCCTCTATCAAATGACAGTGTTAAAATGCGTTTTTCTGTTATTTCTTTTTTCAGCTGATGCCACTTTCCATTTTTCTCTAACTGAACTTGATCTTCATCCAGGTCAACGCATTCCTCAACTATCAAAGTTTTCACTAAATCGTGAGCTTTCTCTGCGACATCAATTTCCGTCCCCATTACCGATAAATCTCCGTTTTTCTCGTCAAAGGCTATCATGGCTTGTAAATTGTTGGCCGTGAACATATCTCTTATGAATGCCTGACAGGGCGTACTTCTAAGCAAGGAGACGGCATTCTGTGGTAGGTTTAGCTTCAATTTTGTCATTTTGGCAACTGCCTCCCAAATAGCTGCACTCACCTTATGGATGATTTCAGGAGGACTTCGAATTTGAACCTTTCCCTTTTGAAGTAGAATGGTGACTTCAATTTCTTCATGTCGACTTTCCAGTTCCTTGGCGAATTCGAGATTTTTTAAGAACTGCAAGTGCATATATGGAATAGACAGTGTACTTTCTAATTTCGATGCCTCTCTCCTCAGCCTTTTGTCAATCTCCTCCATCACCCCTTCCAATTCTTCGGCAACATCCTCGACATCTTGCTTCTTCCCAACGAAAAGGATGACGTGCTGCTCAGGGATATGATCAATTCTTAGCTTTTCTTTCGCTGAACTTTTACTTTTCTTGAAGTTTTCGACTACATAATCCCAAGCCTGCGGAGGAACACGCGTAGAGCTTTTAACAAACTCAGCAAGGAAAGAAGCAATAGCCTCACATGCCTCATCGAAGCTGCACTTATCTCTTGAGGCCTCATCTTTGGGTAGGACCGTGACGCTGTCGGTGCTTTCTATCCAGGTTATCTGAACACCATACCTGTTTTGAACTTCTGTCAGATCAGCTTTGCAGTGTTCAAAAATGAACTGCATTTTAACTACATCTACAGCGATATTTTGCACCAGCTCAACATCAGCTTTAACTGGCTGAGGTTTTCCAAGTAAAGAGTAATAAGGCCTGACACCCAATTGTGCATCGCCAATGGAGTGACTCCTCGCCACGACATTTAGAACAGCTGAAAGAGATATTCAAAATGTTTTAAGGCTATCAGAAAAGACAGGGAAAGGCTACTGCTAAATGAATTCCTTGTGGGCCTTAGTTCTTCACTGCTGTATACTTTATAATTTACAATCATCTGAACCTGTCTTTAAGCTATCGACTGAAAAGCCAAGCTTCACAGAGTGGTTCCTGTTAAAGATGTAGGACTCGACTTTAATCGTATTTCCAATGGATAAGTAGAACCACAACAGAGATCATGTAGATTGCTGATGGCTTCTTCGGACTGAATATTAGACGTTTCTTGATACTTCTGACAAGGATAATCGGGACATTTTATTTCAGACCAAAGGGAAAGTAACTGACTCTCTTTTTAATCCCTCTTTTTAATACGGCAAGTTATGTTACACACCTTTTGGGTCTTCGAAGTAAACCAACGCCCATCCTTCCTTTAGATTGAGCTCCACACTGCTTACTTCACCACCGTTGTTCTTTGGACTCTCGAAGTAATAGCGTACAGTATCCTCAGTAGTTGTTTCCTTGCTAAAACCCGATACTTGCACGCAGTGACAAACTGGAAGTTGCTCTACTACTGGGATTTTTCCCTCCAGTGGCTTCATGGAGATCATCTTTGCAACAGCTTTGTAATCTATATATTTTCGGAAGAAAACGATATATAAATATTAAGAGCAAAAAGCTTCAGACTATTTCAAAACGAAACATAGAACTAGATTTGAAGCATCTTAAGAGTACACAAGGGCTATAAGATTAGTCGGGCTGTTGTTTCAAAAATTCAAAATTACACATCAGATTATATATCACTTTCATCGAATGATCGTGTATTAGTGGAGTAATTTCCTCTTCTAAAACGGGCGAAGAAGATTTTAACCGAGCCTATTTGATAAAACTAAAGCCGTAACAATGAGCTCGAGAGCCTTAGAAATTCACCGGCTACAGAGGGTTAACGCTCAATGAAAAATATTTAAAATAAGAAACAATGTTTAAGTTACGCACGGGAACAACAATGTAAACGCTATGCATATTCCACTTCTACTAAATTAGGATACCTTATTTCTTCACGAATTCATAGAACGCTTATTATTTACAAGGAGGGCGCATAATCCAGGTGGGGTGCACCTATTAATAAACTATTTACAAGTAATAATTCTGCTGTAGTTGAAGCTCAAATGAAGTGGCAATGGAAACAGGTTTTCTTTACATCCACACATATTTAGAAAGTAAGGGGGGAGAAGAAGGGGCGGTTATTCGCGGAAGCGCTTGTTTGATATTATGGCCTCGGGGATGGGCGCTTGTTTGGAGGGAGGGCACTAGCCGTAGCGTGCGCGCTTATTCTAAGAAATACGGCAATTTATCCCTTCCTGTTGTCAGTTGTGTTAGTTTGCTAGTAATGTGAACTTACCATAGTCTTCATTGAAGGTAACTATTGCACATGTTTCATTTCCAAACTCAGCATTCAGGACATCCACTCCACTTACTACTTCCATGTAAGATTGAAGAGCGTCTGAGGTAGTTTTATCACTGAGGCCTTGCACAAAGAGTCTTCTCGTGTCCACGGGCAGTTTCCGTGCGGGTTGTTTGAGAGTAATCAAGAGATTCACTCCATCGTAAACAAGACTTCCTTTATTGATGACTCCACGAGCACCTTCAGGTAAGAAGAAAGATTAAACGATTTTCGTCAAACAGGTAAACACACAAACAAATGAAACAACGCAAAAAACTTGTGCAACAGTATTGGATAATAACTACATATCATACATTTACGGAAATAATTACCACCAGTTCAATTTCTGTTTGTCAGTTTTCGATCCTTACTTGGACAAGCCATCAGCCCGTTCGGTTTGATTGAGCGCGAAAAAGAAAAATGGAGACGGCTAGTTCAATTGGAATCCTTTAAAATCACTGTAAAATGGTGCTATTTCTCGTGGTCCTCTGCTATGGAAGTTAAGAGAGGATCCCCTCTTGATGTAGGTATAATGAAGTGAAGCCACGCATGGCTGATACACGGCATTAAGGTAACAGACAGGTGTATGACATTTACTGCAGACTTACTTTCGGCTTTGGTAAAGGTAATGACAGCCGTTGCTTGGTCTGAATTAAAATCCACTCTCTCTATCTCTCCTCCCCCGGAACGCCGTTTGTTTTCGAAAAAATTCGAAATAGCGTCTTTGGTTGTTGTCGCAGCAAGTCCAGTCACCTCAATGGTACGTGACTCTTGTGCTTCTTTCTCGTTGCATGGTTCAACGGCTGTGCTACGAGGTGTGACAGTCAGTGTGGCTCCATCAAGAGTATGCTCACTGTGTCCCAAGACACTTTTTACAGCTTGGAAAGTACCAAAAGTTTATCATTATAAAACAGAAATTTTTGATATGTTAAGTTCAAACACTTAAATTTGCTCGTACTCACTTTCGGCCGCAGCGAAGGTGATAAAAGCAACCCCTCGGTCTGGAATAAAATTGACACGTTCTATCTCTCCTCCCCCAGTGCGCCGTTCGTTTTCGAAAAAGTTCAAAATTGCATCTTCAGTTGTTTTCGGAGCAAGTCCAGTAACTTCTATTGTTCGTGATTCTTGTATTCTTACTTTGTCAAGCGAGTCAGTTGCTGTGTTGCTGGGCATGAGACTCAGTGTGGCTCCATCGAGAATGTGCTGACCATGTTGTAACACACTTTTTACAGCTTGAAATGCAACAAATGATTATTATTGTGGGAGAAACAAAAAACAAAGAGTCCTTTTACTGTTAATGATCCACTCTGGAATACAAAGTGATGAAGAAAAAAAAAAACTTAACTTACAGAGGCTCAGCAGGTTCTCTGACCCTTTCATTCACAAGATCTTATTAGTAATTCTCCTTACTGTCTGCCATACAATTGTTACGATGTTATCTCTGGGAATTCGGCATTGGATCAACTAATAAATAAATATCCCCTCATTGATGATTTTCTTTATTCTTAGTATTGTATTGATATTGTAAGGAGAAATTCTGTCTCGGTCACTTACTCATGGGAGTTAAATAGTTAAAAATGTAATGTTACCGAGAAATAATTTTTCTCAATATCCGACATATTTCTGCAGGATGGTTTCTTTTCTTGACAGTAGGAGCCCTTATAAGAATTCAAAATGAAAGTCACCCTAAACCAAATTATTTACCATCAACATCTTTGAATGTCACGAAAGCTACATTTTCTTCAGGTCGGAGATCCACAGCCTCTACCTCTCCACCCCCAGAACGCCTCTCGTTTTCAAAGTAGTTGGAAATTGAATCTTCTGTGGTCTTTGCAGCGACGCCAGTTATCTTGATAGTTTTGCTTGTACTTTCCGCATCATCAAGTAATTCTAGACTGACATCAAGAGTAGCACCATTCAGGATATGCTGCTTATCATGCTTGACAACATGTTGTGCCACTAAAGAGGATACGAAATGAAGTAAGTGTAGAGAAATCGAAGAATACAGATCTTAATCCAACAGCGACAACAACAATTGCTCTTTGTTTTAAAAAGAAAACCTCAGACAGTGTCAAAGAAAACAAATCTCAGAGAGAGCAAAGCATACATTCTATAACTTAGCTTAAAACATTTCCTCTAGTCATCTGACCATGGTCGTATGAGTCTATCATGGGTAAAAAGGGGACGAAACGTCACCCAAAAATCTCACCGTATCATTTTTTCCAGCACTTAAACCTTACTGCATGATAAACAAGTTACGAAGTGATCCTCGAAAATAATCAAATAGCAGAAAAAAACAAGCTTTCAAGAAGGCAGTCTTCAAAAGGATTCGAACTCGTGCCTGCTGCAAAATGTATGGACGACACTTCTAACTGATCCAGAAAGACATATGTTTAAAGTAAGGCAAATTTTTTAGTCGGCTCTTTGTTACGAAATTACACAATTGATTTCTTGAGATAAGTTCATCGCCTGACTTTATGAAGGTGAACATTACAACTAAGTTACCCTCAGATGACTCAAACTTCACTCGTGCTACACTGCCTTCGATTTTCACTTCCTCTACGGCGCCACCTCCCGAACGCCTTGTGTTCTCAAAGTAATTCAAAACAGTATCCAAGGTTGTACTTTGAGGAAGTCCTCGAACGATAATAACACAGGTCTGCAAAAGCGCGAGAGATAACTGTGACCAAAGAAAAATTGCTTGAGAAAATCAAATGAATGGAGGGAGGAGGGGGGGGGGGGGAGAGTGGGGGCGAATAGCGAAACCCAGACATTAAACTGATGAAGGTAAGAGGCACCATAGGCAGTGTTTATGGTCTTCATAGTGTCCAGAGGTTTTAGTTTACCGGCTTTAATTAAACCACCAAAACACTATGGACACTATTTGATGTTTAATTTACAAGGGAAAATCTATTGGAAACATTAAATATGATTTAAGAAATCGAAGCATCGTCATATATAAGTGAATCGAGCCTCTGAGAATTCAAAAAAGGACTCATCGACTTAGCGATGCTTTTTCCCGAGATTAAAATCAGTGAACTCCTGAAAGGTTCACCCAAGGGTCTGACCTGATTAACTGATGTGTCCTCTGCATGGAACTCTTCATCAAATGCACGATATGAAACTTCCACTTTAGTTCCATTTAAGGTATGTGGCGCTCTTCTTACGACACTCTTTGCAACTGCAAAACAAATAAGAAAAAATAAAAAGGCAATAAATAACTTAACACAGTGAACAAAGAATACACCAAGCAAAAATCAAACTACTTATATTTGTGTTCAACCTTCATGCCGAAATTGAACATGGTGTATGAGAGGGATGAACGGATCATTGAATGTTTTTATGGAAATGAACGGCCAGTGGTTAGAACAAGGATGAGTATGCGTGGAATAAATGGATGAAAGAATTAGGAAGAACCGGGGAAGTGATTGAATTACGTGTCCATGAAAGAGAGAGTCACAAAAAGAGCTTAGTGGGAAAATCAGTTTGAAATAAATTGGATTTTTAACACTAGAATATTCCCTTTGCAATATTCATGCATGATTCTTGCGAAAATTTAATTATGATCATTGATATTTCATGTAAAGTTGAAACACATGTGGCCGTCATCTCAATAATAATTAAACAAGAGCACAAGTGTTTGGAAATGAATGAGCCAGTCACGCATGACCCTTTGTCAGGATCAAGCTTTCAAGAAGGCAGTCTTCAAAAGGATTGAACTCGTGCCTGCTGCAAAATGTATGGACGACACTTCTAACTGATCCAGAAAGACATATGTTTAAAGTAAGGCAAATTTTTTAGTCGGCTCTTTGTTACGAAATTACACAATTGATCTCTTGAGATGAGTTCATCGCCTGACTTTATGAAGGTGAACATTACAACTAAGTTACCCTCAGATGACTCAAACTTCACTCGTGCTACACTGCCTTCGATTTTCACTTCCTCTACGGCGCCACCTCCCGAACGCCTTGTGTTCTCAAAGTAATTCAAAACAGTATCCAAGGTTGTACTTTGAGGAAGTCCTCGAACGATAATAACACAGGTCTGCAAAAGCGCGAGAGATAACTGTGACCAAAGAAAAATTGCTTGAGAAAATCAAATGAATGGAGGGAGGAGGGGGGGGGGGGGAGAGAGAGTGGGGGCGAATAGCGAAACCCAGACATTAAACAGATGAAGGTGAGAGGCACCATAGGCAGTGTTTATGGTCTTCATAGTGTCCAGAGGTTTTAGTTTACCGGCTTTAATTAAACCACCAAAACACTATGGACACTATTTGATGTTTAATTTACAAGGGAAAATCTATTGGAAACATTAAATATGATTTAAGAAATCGAAGCATCGTCATATATAAGTGAATCGAGCCTCTGAGAATTCAAAAAAGGACTCATCGACTTAGCGATGCTTTTTCCCGAGATTAAAATCAGTGAACTCCTGAAAGGTTCACCCAAGGGTCTGACCTGATTAACTGATGTGTCCTCTGCATGGAACTCTTCATCAAATGCACGATATGAAACTTCCACTTTAGTTCCATTTAAGGTATGTGGCGCTCTTCTTACGACACTCTTTGCAACTGCAAAACAAATAAGAAAAAAAAAGGCAATAAATAACTTAACACAGTGAACAAAGAATACACCAAGCAAACATCAGACAACTTATATTTCACACTACAATATTCCCTTTGCAATATTCATGCATGATTCTTGCGAAAATTTAATTATGATCATTGATATTTCATGTAAAGTTGAAACACATGTGGCCGTCATCTCAATAATAATTAAACAAGAGCGCAAGTGTTTGGAAATGAATGAGCCAGTCACGCATGACCCTTTGTCAGGATATACTTATGCTTTGGATTTTGTTATAATCATTATAATCACATCATGAATGCTACGTTGTCCTTGCCCTCCCCGAAATTTGTTTTTATGATGCACGTTTGAGCCGCTGTTTTAAAGATCTGAATTCGGCGAAATCCGGAAACATTTGAAGGGAAAAGCTGAAGTTTCGCACTCGAAAGAACAGGCATGAAATCATGAAATTCGAGTGACCTACATGAAATCCGCACTTCTTTGAACAAAACACTAATTAATAATTACAGTTGTGGTTGATGACGCTGTCATGGTCATAAGCTGAGAGAATGAAACAAAGGGAAATTCCAACTCACCATCGCTTTCTTCAAATGTTATGACCGCGTCGCCTTCCCTCAAGTCCACCGAGCTGATATCTCCACCTCCGGATTGTTTACGTGATTGGAAATATATCATTAATTCTTGCTTGGATATCTTTCTACCGATAGCTCGAACGTGTAAAATCCGACCTTCGTCCATGTTAAGATGGTGTGCGTGTCTAAACTTCGAAAGGTAAATGTGAGATAGATTTGTCCCGCATCGTGCGTAACCGAAACTTCTCGCAGGCGCGGATTCCAAGAATCTGGAAGGATGTCAATTTCCGACGAATTAAGCGTATCGATGATGTCATCGTCTGTCACGCAAGTAACCTGTTCAGTGGCCTACTGGGGTTAAAACAAACTGCATTTGTCTCTTAAATTTAGCTATTTGAACAAATAGATAAATGTGATTTCTCTACCACTTACATGTAAATATGGTATAACATAAATTGGTTAAAAATTTATCTGGTTTCCCTCTAAGATTCTTGCAGAGAATTGGTTAAAGGGATTCCCCGCTCGATACGGGAGTACGTGGATCACTGTAATACTGCCTTGCCTTCTTTTTAATCGACGGTGCTGATATCTCAACCTCGAGATTGTTTGGGTGATTGGAAATATTTCGCTCATTCGTACTCTATGATCTCTCCGACCCACTAATACCTCGGACATGCAAATTCCGGTCTTCTTCATGTTTACAGAGGTATAACTTAATCTTTCTACAATTTAAAAACTGAAATAAGCGGAAAAAAAAAGCGAGTTCCGCGTCAGGCGAAACCGAAATTGCTCGTCAGTGCCGATTCTTAGAAATCGTTGGGAAAAACCCCTGCATGATATTTCGATGACGTCACTGCCTGTCACGCATGTTTCTTTCAAGGGACTAAGGGTAAGGTAAGATATTTTAGCTTTATAAAAATACGAGCTAAACGGTTAAAAGACGGTAATTTCCTCCGTAAATAAACTGAGTATCAACTAAAAAAGTTAGGGCAATTCTCATTACATTTAAAACTTAAAGGAAAATGTTAACTAAATGAGAACAAAAAAAACATTCTTCCCTCTCCCCGTCAAGGTCTTACCCAGCCCCTAGACGATTTGTTGCTACGGAAGTTTTAGGGAATTCTTGGAAAGCGTGTCAGAGACACACAGTGAAGCAATCGTGACTTCAAGACAGATCGTCAGACACCAATCTGTGGCGACGCTATCATGGCAGCGAAGCCAATTTTCGTCGATGAGCCATGGAATCCACAGCCTAGAAATACAACTGTCGCCAACAGAAGTGTCGTTGTTAAAAACCTATCACCCTTGACAAGCAAGGAGGCGATAATCATTTACTTTCAGAGGCGAAGAAATGGTGGAGGTGAAGTCGACGATGTTTGCTTACGAAGCGAAGGTGTAGCAGTTGTTACATTTGAAAAAGAAGAAGGTTGGTTAGATCTATTGATTTTGAAAATCATTTCGATCGACTTCAAACTGCAGTCAGCTTTAGTTTAAACACCGATAACTGCGACACTTTCACGGAGATAAACTGTCGATCCATGACGAAATGGCTCGATTAGCTATCAAAATATCGAAGTCACTTGCTTCGTTCCTTTACTCAGAGTTGGTTTGATTCGAGGTGTTTGAATGTTCTCATCACTTTCAGCGGCAATAAACACCATCGAAAACGGAAGTTCGCTGAAAACGAAACTTTCGAGACAAGCGCTACAAATTTCCCTCGGGAAAGCCCCTATACTTACAATGTTTAGCAGGTCTTGGGAGTCGAATATGTAATCATCGTATACATTCCTTTATGATGTGATGTGGCGTGTAATTTAAAGGAAGGAATGATCAATGATCGCCTGGCTTAGAACCAACTGGTGAAATATTCAGGTTCACTACAAACAGCTTGCATGAAAGAATTTGCATACATAAGAAACAATTGGAAATATTACTACAAAAGGTGTCACGATCCTTAAAGAAAAAAGTAATAAATTATCGAAGGTAGAACTTATGAACAGAACAGATTAACCTAGAAACGCGTTTGCTACAATCAACATTTTCTCCTAGAAATTTAACATATTCTACCAATCAAGCGAATGTCGAAATTAAAGAGAATTTTAGTAGTATTTGTGTTTGGATAACCACAATACTAACTGTTTGACTGTTATTGCTCAAACATTTTAAGTGGTAAGATTACGACAAAGACGGAGAGGGGAAGGGGGGGGGGGTTGATCGCTGGTCAGGTTGGAGAGAAACTACGATCACTTTGTTTGGTAGCGTTAGATATCTATACAACGAACTGTAAATATTTAGGCTAAATTCTAATCTGTCATGTCCTGATCAACAAAGCCTAGGGCTCTCTACGATTTTTGAGCAGGATTAGTTGCAGGCTAATCCCAAATAATTGATATGTGCGGTGTGCAGTGTAAAGAGTTTAAAGGCTGACGTTTCGAGCGTTAGCACAGACGAAGGGCAAACGCTCGAAACGTCAGCCTTTAAACTCTTTACAGTGACCAATTTGCGTCTTCAACTCAGTTGTGACACTAAATTACCCTGTTATACTTTCCCACCAACGCAGCACTACAGTTTCTTTAGAAACTTACCCCCTTTGCTCGTTTGCTAACAGAGATAACTGCTTCAACAAAGCATTGTTTTGCGTTGGCTCCGTGCAACATCTCAACATCTAGAATCATGTAACATAATTAGTATAGTTCGTGGTTTCAGTTTAGTTTAATTAACGAGTTGATGATGTAAATCAGCTATTGTAAAGACTTTTGAGCGTGAAACCCTTACAATTAGCTCTGGCGACGGGCTGACGCTCGAAACGTGAACTTTAGAAATTTCTTTATGGTGACTAATATACGTTATCAACTCAGCTGATAAAAAGCAATGATTATCTTGTAATGGTCTGTAAAATGTTCCCCCGCCGCAGCATCATAGTTTATTCAGAAACTTATCCCCTTTAATTCCTTTCAGTCGCGGAGTCTGTTTTGACAAGAGTACACACCATAGATGGCGTTCAGGTGAAAGTGGAGCGAAATGTTCAATCATCAAACCAGGTATTTTACGCATATTAGATATAAAATGATATGCAATGAAACCGTAACAGACGAATTAGAGCACAAACTGGGTGAGGCGGGTAACTCGGCCGGAAGTCCATGCTGATGATGAAGATGATAACATTCCCTCATAATGTTTAAAGATTTGCTTTCTGAATTTATTTTCTACCAAAGGGAGCTGTTCAAGCTCTACCTTGTGTACTTTCATTCTATCGAGAGGAAAATTAAAGTCTGTTATCAAGGACGAACCGGTGATAAAATATTGATTAAACAACTGATAATATGTTGCACAGCTTAGAAATATGTCAATATAGGAATAATTTTTGACTTACTGCATGCATTACAACGCTTTCAAGGTGTTTGGCAAAGTGGCCGCCCGTCTCGATCCGCAACCATTAGGTTTAAGCTTCTCCAGTTTGGAAGAAATTCTACAATCTATCAAAGACGAAGCAGTAGTAGAGAGGAGAAGGATTTTCGACGGCTTTGTTGTGTCCGGAACATTTGAGGAAATAGCAAAAGTCCGCAGCTTATTACAGAAAATTATACCGATCAGTAGTCATCAGGGAAAGAGAGAGCCTGTGCAGACAGACTGCAGAAAGTCAGTGTATCCGAAGGCTATCAGAGAGTCTCCCCGAGCTGATAAACCTTTTTTTGAACCAGCCAATGGTCAAAAACATCCCAACAGAAACTTGACAGGGAAGGCAAACTTGAGAGAATTTCAAGGACGAGGATTGAATCAGCGCATAAACATGGTAAACAGCAAGGAGACAAACAAGGAAGAGGACAAATTAGTACATCCGGAGACATTAACCTATGGTTCTGCCGTTCCTTTATTCGACTTCCCTGGTGCTGAGAGCTCGCCTAGCATAGAACAGAAACGCGAGTCGGTGAAAACAGAACTCCGAAGCAGAGGTAGAAATCAGTACCAAGCAAAAGCCACAAGGACAGAAGATTCAATGACGACAGCGGAGAGGAAAAGGAAAACAGATGAAGCTAGGAAACTTGAAGATGAATTAAAAAAATCTCAAATTTTAGGTGTTGGTAAACGATGGCTAAGCAGGGAAGAAGCAGAAAAGTTTAGTGACCTTGGAGGTCCCCAAATTATGGCCCAAAATCATAAACATCCAACAGACTTAAGTGATTATAAAAAACACAAAGTGGAGAATACATTTCTTGATGAAAAAAACATCGATACCCGAAGAGAAATTCCCATTCAAAAAATAGCAAATAAAGAAATTGGTGAGATGAGTCAAGGAACGACCACTGAATCGTCTGCAATAAAGAAAAGTTTTGTCGAGGACGACCCAAATGAGAGAACAGAAAATACTGAACTGGTTATGGTTACGACTTCCGACGATGCTTCGGGGTCAACCTCAGAACCAGCCCCATTCCCTTATGGCACTGAGCTTCGGAGCAACAACCAAAATCAAGACGAAACAAAGCCATTTGAAACTCTCTCGAGAAAACAACAGGGTGGTAATAACAATGGGCTCAGGGGTGTCAAAGAGAGGGGAAACTCTCCTTTAGACAGTGGAGGAGAAGCCGTGAGAAGTGAGCACATCGACGAAAATGATATGGATGAAACGCAACGAAATGAAATCTGTGAAAAACAAGTTCAACCGCAATCAAAGAACCCAAAGAGTCCAAATGAAAGCATAAAAGAACTGGAGTCCACAATTTCTAGGAGGGAGAGCAACCACATTAAATTCTCCACGGAAACTGGTATCACCGTCGTGTTGCTTGAAGGAGACATTACGAACCATCATGCAGACCTTCTCATACGTCCAACCAATCCATCGCTCTGTCACAAAGAGAGACTCTCAAATCAATTTCAGGACAGAGGGGGTACATTGTTAAAAGATGAATGTCAAAGGAGCACACAAGGCCAAGAAACGCCAAATTATGGCGAAGTATACTTTACTGATAGTGGTAATTTACCTTGCAAAGCTATCCTTCATGCAATTCTGCCTCTTTGGACCGAGGAAAAGGAGGATACGAAGGACCTTAAGCACTTAATCCACGTTTGTTTAAAGAAAGGGTTGATTTTGGCATCAGAGCATGGACACAGATCGGTTGCGTTACCGCCATTAGGACAAGAGGGGAATCCTATTCCAGTTCGTGTCTCAGCACAGGTGACAACTCGTGTCATCGCTTCGTTCAGCAGAAGCGTTAGTCCATTGCACAATGGAGTCACTGATTTACACATTGTGTGTAATGATGATGCCACTTTCAATGTATTTGCCAAACAATTGAGAGAATTTTCATTTCGAGACAAACAACGACCATATTTCGTACAGGCTGAGGACAAAACAGTACCATATCAAAGCATTCGAAGATGTGGCACTGAACTCAAAACAGTCGAACTCTCTTCGCTGAAAGGGACACCTCGTCAGGAAAACCAAAATTCGACCATTTTACCAGTCTCTAAAACGGATTTAGCCTCACAGCCAGCCTCACTTTCTCATGGCACAGAGAGCAGAAGAAACAATCTAATTCGAAACGAAACAAAGCCTTGTAAAGCTCTTCCGAAAAATCAACAAGATGATGATGATAACAGTAGGCTGAAGAATGTCAAAGAGGAACAAAACGCTTTTCTCGAGAATGGAGGAGAAGCTGTAGCAAATCACCCCAAAGACGAAACAATGTTTACTGAAGCGCTAAAACAAAGTGAAATATGTGGAGAAGAAGCCCACCAACAACCAAAGAGCCCCAATTCAGATGAAAGCATTGAAGATGCGGAGTCTTCAACAATTGTGATGGGAAACAACCATGTCAAGTTCTCCGCAGAAACTGGTATCACCGTCATGTTACTTAAAGGAAATGTAACAAGCCATAATGCAGACGTTCTTATTAGTCCCGCTAATCCATCACTTTGTTACAAAGAGGGACTATCTAAGCAGATTCAAGAGACAGGGGGCAGATCTTTAAAAGATGAATGCCTTATGATCACTCAAGGACAAAAAATGTTAAAATATGGAGAGGTGCTTGTTACCGGTAGTGGTAATTTACCTTGCAAAGCTGTTCTTCATGCTATTCTGCCCCTGTGGACCAACGACAAGGAGGATAAGAAAGAGCTGAAGTGCCAAATCCACGCTTGTCTTAAAAATGGGCTTATTTTGGCATCAGGACGCAGACACAGATCGGTTGCTTTCCCTCTATTAGGACAGGAGTGGAATCCCATTCCAGTTCAAGTGTCAGCAGAGGTGATCACTCGTGTCATTGCTACGTTTAGCGAAAGCGTTGGTCCATTACACAGTGGAGTTACCGATTTCCACATAGTATGTGAAGACGACGCCGCTTTCAATGTATATGTCAAAGAGTTGAGAGAATTTTTATTTCGAGACAAACAAAGACCGTATTTCGTACAGGCTGAGGACAAAACAGTACCATATCAAAGCATTGAAAGATATGGCACTGGACTCAAAACAGACGAACTCTCTTCGCTGAAAGGGACGCCTCGTCAGGGAAACCAAAATACGACCATGTTACCAGTCTCTAAAACGGATTTAGCCTCACAGCCAGCCTCATTTTCTCATGGCACAGAGAGCAGAAGAAACAATCTAATTCAAAACGAAACAAAGCCTTGTAAAGCTCTTCCGAAAAATCAACAAGATGATGATGATAACAGTGGGCTGAAGAATGTCAAAGAGGAAGAAAACGCTTTTCTTGAGAATGTAGGAGAAGCTGTAACAAATCACCCCAAGGACGAAAAAAGGTTTACTGAAGCGCTAAAACAAAGTGAAATATGTGGAGAAGAAGCCCACCAACAATCAAAGAGCCCCAATTCAGATGAAAGCATTGAAGATGCGGAGTCTTCAACAATTGTGATGGGTAACAACCATGTTAAGTTCTCCACAGAAACTGGTATCACCGTCATGTTACTTAAAGGAAATGTAACAAGTCACAATGCAGACGTTCTTATTAGTCCTGCTAATCCATCACTTTGTTACAAAGAGGGAATATCTAGGCAGATTCAAGAGACAGGGGGCAGATCTTTAAAAGATGAATGCCTTATGATCACCCAAGGACAAAAAATGTTAAAATATGGAGAGGTGCTTGTTACCGGTAGTGGTAATTTACCTTGCAAAGCTGTTCTTCATGCTATTCTGCCCCTATGGACCGACGGCAAGGAGGATAAGAAAGAGCTAAAGTGCCAAATCCACGCTTGTCTTAAAAGTGGGCTCATTTTGGCATCAGGACACAGACACAGATCGGTTGCTTTTCCTCTATTAGGACAGGAGTGGAATCCCATTCCAGTTCAAGTGTCAGCAGAGGTGATCACTCGTGTCATTGCTACATTTAGCAAAAGCGTCGGTCTATTACACAGTGGGGTTACTGATTTCCATATAGTTTGTGAGGATGCAGCAAGTTTAAAAGCGTTTGCCAAAGAATTGGAAGAATTTTCATTCCCACATAAACAGCAAAAACATTTTGTGACAAGAAAATCACCGGATGAGATATCTTGTCAAAGTGCAGCTTTTTCGATTAGTCTTAAACCAGATTCAGTGCCTAAGGAAGAGAATGGAATGACCCAAATGGTCTCACCCAGAGAAGAAATTGTCACATCCTTAACTGAAATTAAATCAAGTGAAGAGCTATCCGCCAGGAACGAGGAAATGACAACGATCGAAGTAGATGATTTTACGAGGCCTGTGGAAGTTCGAGCGTTCGAAATACTGGAAGCAACGTCTGGAAGACGCTTACCTCGACTTGTTGGAGAACTATCACAAAGTTTCCCTGATGGAGAGAGTATAAAGAGGGAAATGGGGGAGGAGTTGAAAAGGGATGAATTTGAAGAGCAGGTCACTGAAAACCATGATTTTGAAAAGAAATCTTCAGCACAACTACAACAGTCTACAGCTGTCGACCCGTTTTCTAAACGAGAAGAGATGGGACAACGCCACGCTCAGCACAACATGAGACACATTACAAAGCCTCCTCCGTTATCAATGGGCAAGAAAACGATAGTTCGAAGGATTTCAAACTCTTCCTCTCTCCAGGATGGTGGCAGGATGTTAAAGGGTTTCATGTCACCCACTATTGAGGCCCTCATGAATGCCGATCTTCACCTTGGTGCTCAAGGATTAAAACTTTTGCATGACGATGATGGCAATGTAAAGAAAAAAGAAGACTTGGAGAAAAGCTTTTTGCTTGACTCACATGACGAAAATTGTTCAACTGCATTTAGTGTTCCGCACTTAGATGGCCATCAGAGTGATGACAATATGCCACAAAATTGTGGAAGGAAAGTCGAAAAAATCCCAGATTCTGACATGGAGCTTGGAACTCTTGATATTTTGGAAACAACAAATCAAAACAGCCCCTCAGTAAGGGAGAAAGACGAAAAAAACGGATCCCCCACACTTCCTGAGAAAAATGGTAGGCGATAGACGTATAAAGTTTTCCTGGAGTTTAACTTAACCTTGACCCATCTAGTTGGTCTTAGGAAATAAAATAAAAACTGAAAAAGTATCTGTGCCAAGTCATATTATACTAAACGCATCAGGCGTGCAGCATAGTTAGGAAAAATGTTCCGGTTTGTATCGTACCTGGATAATGCTTCTTTTCAGGAAGAAAAGACCAAACTGGGTCTTATAGATGTTAGTTTTAATCAAATATATTTAAACATAAACATTCTCGATAGAAATATTGGTGATTAAAGTGGCTCAAAATGGTTTACCTATTTCCAAAATTTTAAAGGAAACAGGCGAAAATATGTGATAGTATTAACTATCAAGGAATTGGTGTGATGAAAAACGAAACCATCTTGAGTTATCTTAAATGGAATAAGATTGACTCACATGTCGTCACGTGTTCTAATTTTAAACTAATTATACATTTATCTGTTTCTTAGTTTCAGCAGAAACTGCACAGCTTCAGAGTGCCAGCATCCTCTGTGCTCTCTGCCAGGAAGCGGTGGATCAATTGGCCCCAGAAAATTCAAACACTTGTGAAAAGCACAAGTTCTGTTACGACTGTAAACAGAAAGCTTTCTCATTTAGTGATGACTGTCCCGCTTTTGCGGATGCATATGGCTTGACAAACCTCAAAAGAGTTGACATTGCTACCCTCATACGTAGATCTGACCACGATATCAAAGGTACGTAAGAGACCTAAATTAAGATCCGTTGTTTAATTATCAGAATGTTGAGATGGATCGAACAGATAAGATATTAATAACTAGCCTCAGACAAAGCCGCTGTCATTCATTTTTTGAAGGCTCTTTTCTATGAATTATGTTGATTGATTTACGAGTTTTTAATTTTTCTTTGAGACAGTTTCCTATTGATTGTTAAGAATATGCCCAACCCTATGTCTATTTATTTGTTTTGATCTCTATATTTGTTAATTTTCACTTTCAATCTATTCATTCACTTTTTCGTTTCACATACAGACACTCATCCTTCCACATCCGACTCAATCCCACTCGTGGAACGCCCCAGCAGTGCCTACAGGTCAGTCGGTCCCCAAGGCAACCAGCCTCCTGGAGAAATGATGTGGAAAAAGTATTCGGAAGATCTTACTGGTTTCGAAGGTTATGGCACAATTGTTACAACTTTCACTTTCTATGATGGAGTCCAAAGCGCAGAACATCCAACCCCAGGCAAATCATACAAGGGCATATCGTGCATGGCCTACTTTCCTGACTCGCAAGAGGGAAAACAGGTTTTGAAATTACTTAGAAAAGCTTTTGACGCCCGCCTGGTATTTACTATTTCACAAACTGCTCCCGAAGAGTCCGGTCAGGTGGTGTTGGATGGATTAGAACTGAAGACCACAGCTGAAAGTTATTTCAGGTAAGGGGCTCAGTCAATCCGCTTGGGTCTTCACATCTGGGGGCCTTCGTTGATCCAGTTTTAATCAGGGTAGTTAAATATAATCAACTGGGTTGATAACGCAAATTGGTCACCGTAAAGAGTTTCAAAGCAGACGTTTCGAGCGTTAGCCCTTCATCATAGCGAATCAGTCTCGTTCGTTTAGGAAAAGGTGAGGTATTTTCGGTAAAAAAAAACTCAGAAGCAATTTCAAAAGAATAAAACAATAGCGTAATTCAGCGACCTGGAGTTGTAGGGTTTACAAATGTTTCCTTTTGTTCTCGTTTTATAAGTGAATTTCAAGGAATGACTATGAAAATTTTCCACTTTACTCCACGAGATTTTTCGCTAGGTGTTGGTAAATATGATTGCAGGTTATATTTTGCTTTTCTTTGGAATTTTAGGCCATGTCAAATCTTGAAATATTTTCTCTTCTTAATTGTAATCCAGTTTTACCTCTATAAATCTTCAGGAATGGTCAGCCAGACGTCGACTATTTTTCAAGACTAAAAGGACAGTTGGCAGCTAAAGGAATTTGCTGAAAAAAAAAAACTTCTGTTCTGCGGAACAGTGACTGAACTGATTTTAACTGCGTTATATGGTGTTCTTCTTTATACGTTTTTGAGGATTATTTTTAAGCTTTTTCCTTTGATTTCGCGGCCTCGTGCAGATGTATATCTCAGATTCTCTTTTTCCTTTTTATTTTGAGCTAGAACGAAAAAATCTAAATTAAATATTTTATTCACCGATCATATCTTAAAAGACAATGCAGGATCAACTAGAACGACATTTTTTTTGGCTTTTCTGCATTGATTCGTTCGCATGTCATCCTCAGCTCACTTGTCCTTTTGTGCATTCTAAGAGTAAATAACGTAATTCGTAAAAATGATAAGTAATTATTACCCTGTATACCATAGCGAGTTAATTGTACGGAAAAAAAAAATCACATTGGAGGAACTTTTTTATGTAGTTTGTTTCGTTTTTGGATCTATCGTCAGGTTGGTTTAGGCGTCTCTACACAAAACAACAAAACTAAGCAACATAACTTTAAAAGACCAAATCCAACAAAAAGGGAATAGCGATGGGTTTTTTCGCATCATAGAGTTAATTTCAACGCTTAAAAGGCATAAATTTTATACAATTTACCAAGTGCATCATTGTCGAATTTTAATAAACTTGGAGGCTCTGCAAATTTCCTAGAGGTAATAACACTGAAGTGCGTGACACCTTATAATGACACCTGTGCAACTGTAACGCACGACAATTCTACTAAAATAAACTCGTCGTAGAAACTGGAAGACTCTGGCATTACAAGAATATACGTCAACACCAAGCTGAACGTAATCAATCAGTCACTAAGTAGATTAGCTCAAGTATTTTAAAAAAGAGGAAGGAAAAAGAAACAACGAATTCACGAATTCATTTGATTTCATATACCTCTGGCTCTCTTGCTATAGTGAAAGAGGTGAACTTGTGAATGGGCCTGCCTATCCTATTTGCTCATGGAAACCTTTTAAAAGTTAAAAGGAAAACAAAAGTGAATCATTCAACGATGTTGTGCACCGAAATTGAGGCTAATAGCAGTGAGTGAATCAAAACATTTACAAGAACACAAATTTAGGAAACTAAAGGCAGCCACGGAGACTCAGAATTTTTTCTTTGTCCCACGCTCGTGACAAGACGAAAAAACATCTTTCTTAATTCTTCACCGAGCTCAAAATTTACCATCTCTACTTTTCTGTCAAAAACATTACGCTATCGACATTGCTGATCCTAGCAGTATGCAGGACGCGTGTCATTAGAACTTCGTAATAGACCCCGCTCACCGAAGAGTCTCTGTGGCTCAGTGGTAGAGCATCAGAGCGCAAAATCCGAAGGTCTGAGGTTGAATTCCTCATGGAGACTCAGAATTTTTTCTTTGTCCCACGCTCGTGACAAAACGAAAAAACATCTTTCTTAAAGGCAGCCAGTTACACGAATGCTTCCAGAAGTCTTTAGTAGTTATTCTCATGAAAGTAAATTTTATGAAGATCGCTCGGTGCTAGCGACCATTGCACGGTGAGTTTGACACGTTAACCCCACACCGTTAGGCGGAAAAAGTAAATACAAGTAACGGTCTGTTAATAATTCAACTTTTGTGACTAGGACAAGATAAACGTTTACTTCTGTATGCTGTACAAATTAAAGAAAAAGGAAGGGTTTACCGCAAAAATTCTGCAATTTCCTTTAGCAAGAACAAAAGAAGAGTGTTGGGAGATTTTTTCAGCAAGTAATTTATTGTCAACAACTGAGTTGAAAACGTAAATTGGCCACCGTAAAGAGTTTAAAGGCGGACGTTTCGAGCGTTAGCCCTTCGTCAACTCAGTTGTTAACACTAATTTACCTGCTATAATCTCCCACGGACGCAGCGCCACAGTTTCTTTTAAGAAAATTACCCCAATTATATATTTCTTTTCTCGGCAAGAATTGCCGAAGGTTAAACTTGTAATTTTGGTTTCTATGTAGACATATTTTCCATGACCTTTCGTTTCTCAATTTTTAATAAGGTTTTTTTTGCCCCGGCTTCTGAGCCTTGCAAAATTGTTGACCAGCACGTTTTTTAACTAGCTTATGCATTCAATTTTACCGTTTTCCTCTTTATTTTTACATTTGAATCTATGTTATTGCTTGTCAAATATTCAGTCATTTCAGCTGTCTTTTCGAGTGTTTTTGAAATTTTATTGCGCGCACGCTTTCTTGCGATTAACAATCTTTCAACGTTCCGAGTTCTATTCGTTTAGAATAATTGAGGATGTATTGAACAGGATATGGTTTCACAACTAATTGAAATACTTGGTAGCTGTTTAAACATCCGCTCAAAAAATCATCAAACTTGTTTTCACCGCAAATGAAATATCATAGCGAATGTTTTATGTGATATTATCGCATTTAATACGGTCTTTCTGACAATTAAACCATATCATTTCGATCCCTCTAAAATGCGCTTATCGTCAAAACTAAGGTTTGAACAGTTGCAAAGGTGTTTCAAGAAAACTGAAAACCTATAAACGTATATAAGACTGTTACTATCTCTCTCTGAAAGAAACTCATCTTAAACGACAAGAAGTTCAAAATGAAAGGACTGATAGTGTTTTGTGGCCTGTTTATGGGCGCCTTTGCCCAAAATCCAGATGGCAAGTACTTATTTTTTTTCTAACTGAAGAAATATTTACGTCAACTCTTATAAGCACATTTCTTGTAAGCAGCCGCTGAAATAGTAACGTTTTTTCTACCATCGGTACTCATTTACGTCTTTCGATAACGGTTCTACAAAACTTTTTCTTTTCATAATTTATGTTTTTCAAGCAATTTCTTAAACTCATGAGAACAAAAGTCAGGAAGGGGTGGATGTCAATAGTTTCTTTATCAAAGTCTCTTTACTGTTCGTAGTTTTATCGCACCATATACAGTTTCAGCCCCAGATTACTAAAACGCATTGATAAAACCCGAAATAAAAATCACATGCGGAGCTGCAAAATACCCGTGCCAACCATACTTCAAACGAAAAACAATAATAGTTATTAAACTCTGAACTGTGTAGTGGTAGGGGCGGCGCGCTTTACATTGTAAATGTTCACTTACTTACAATGGCAGTTACAATTGCTATCACATTGGATTTTTATTTCAGAGCCTAAAATTTGTTTACTCCGTGATCGAAGTAAATAAGACCTTACTTTTAAAAACCTTCCAATGTAACCTGGCAATCGATAGGATATTTCATTGATTATTTAATAAAAAACTTTTGGATGATTGTGTGTCTGCTCGTTTCCTTTTTGCAGAAAATATCGAGCTCCACGGACGAGATGCTGGTCTGTATGAAGGAGACATGAGACTAACGATTGATCAAGCACTAATGATCGAGAGTGGCGAGGTCAGAGGATCAATTAAAACTGGAAAATGGCCTGAAGCTGAGCTGGCATACGAAATTGATCCTTCTCTGAGTAAGTCATTTTTGACTGGAGAAATAGATAACATTACAAAGAAAATCTATATGCATTTCAATATAAAAAGTCAAAATTTACTTTCAGAGGGTTTATTTGTTTTCGACTTCTAAGGTTCGCAGTCGAGGGCGATGGCCGTTATCCAGAGTGCAATGCGCGAGTGGGAGCAGAAAACTTGCGTACGCTTTAAGAAAAGAACCACAGAGACCGCTTACGTCTCATTCTTTAAAGGTTCCGGGTAAGAATATAAGATGATGAAACATTTTCTGTTTGGTTTCTATCTTCGTCCTCTTTTCGAACTTTCTTCTAAGATGCATTAATTATTTTCTAAAAGAAAGGAAAAAATAATTTATGACCGGTCATTACTTGTTGTCTGGGGATGGGGGAGGGGAATGGGCAGGGGGGAGGTTTACATGAGTTTGGCTGTCTCACAAAAAATTTTACTTAGTCCCCCCTCCCTGAGGTCCTCTATCCCTCTTCATTGCAAGTTAATTGGCAGTCTGTCTCCTATTATCCACCTTTGTATTATGTTGGCGACAACTTAAAGTTCCTCCCCACTCTGTTCCCCCTGAAAACTATGTGATTGCCCCCCAACTCTTTCACCCCATCCACCCCTCAGGCAAAAAAATTACGACCGATCCTTTCATAGTCAATCTAAAGGCCATTAGAATCTTTTTGACAAATTTATACAATCATCTGCTCAAATGTAGCTTATCATAATTGTTAGTTATTATTTAATATTTCTTCTGAATGCTAAATAATACGAACTTGCAATTATTAGGTGTTGGTCTTATGTTGGAAGAACCGGCAGGAAGCAACAATTGTCATTGGCCAGTGGATGTTGGTATCACGGCATTGTGATCCATGAAATAGGTGCAACTCAAATTAACACGTTGGCAAGGAAAAAAAATCACTTATTTGACGTAAAAGATGAATAGTGATTGATGTGATGCTCCAGTGTCATTCTACCTTTCTCTTTCTCCTCTTGAATCAACTGTTTTCCTGTTTTCCTATATATTTTCGACCTATCATGCATAAAAACGGCATTACGACAGTGAGGTGATGAGGAGAGACTGTTTCCCATTTTCGGGGTTGAATGCATCTAGGAACGAAAAGTTATTTGTGTGTAATGTCTCTGAAGTAGTTTATAAAAGCCACCACAAAATAATGTTTGATCACCGATCATGGCAACTGAACATCTGCCACAACAACTAAAAAGCGTTCCAAGATAATTTTAACCGTTGCTGTTATTGTTGTTGATGTTTTTTTTATTTTAGGTCATGCACTTGGCTTTTATCATGAACAGTCTCGCCCTGATCGAGACCAACACGTGACCATTTTGTGGGAAAACATCAGAGAGGGTAGGTATTTGAGTCTATGATGAATTAAGACTGACATTAAGCCATCGTGCATATCTTCCTCATTCGTCCAATTTCACGATGTGTGTGAATCATATGCAATGGTTTCATGACGTTAACCCATTCCCAGTCAATGAGTTCTCGTGCACTCCTCACGGGAACCGGGAAAATTAGCTCGATATCTGTAAGGAGTTCGTTACTATTTTTGAGAGAGAGTCATGTCTTGACTATCATGATGAAGTGACACAAAATATCCCACGTCAGAGGCCACAATGAACATATTGGATCTAGAACTGAGTTGTTTCTTCAATGAACAAAGCACTCTCCTATTTGGAGGAACTGTAGGCTTTGGAGAGAAAGTATGGCGAAGAGTTAAAATCTTTTTTTGGAACAGTCACGTCTGTCTCCAAATTTAAATGTGGTTTAGTCGAAGGAGATATTCTTTTTTACATTGGAAACGTGATGAATAAAACGACGTTTGGTTGTTTTTTTTTCGGTTTCAGCTAACAAACACAACTTCAAGAAGTACAGCACCAGTATTATTGACTCTCATCAAACTCCTTATGATTATGGATCTATCATGCATTACTCATCCTAGGGCATTTTCAAAGAACGGAAAGCCAACAATGGCGGTGGCCAATGGGGTAAGTTGTAAACAGACGAGGCTTTGTATATATAGCAGGTGAGTTATACATACGTACGAACATACATGAATCTTATGAAAGGTACCTAGAACAAGAGAAAACGTATAACATAAAGAACGCATTTAAAGGAAAGTTTAAAGGTGAGCATTATGTGAAAGAATCCCGAAAATTACTGTTTAGAAAATCTTCACAAATCACGTAAGGTCTAGCATGTACAAGATTATAGGAAAACAATCAAAGAACTTCATGGCGAATACAAACTCGCCTCTTGTTCTGCAAGAATTATCACATTTTACGTTAAGTTTCAA